TTACCACACGCCAGAGGAAACGTGTTAACGCGTGATTGTTTTATAATCTAAAACCAACAATAATTTACAGCCGTTTGTTAATCTACTTCTGGATGAAGGCCAATCCCACACTGTGCCGGTCTTGAGGGTGGTTTGACCAAATTGACCACGCTGGTCAATGCGGAGATTGGGTTGGTGAAGTGCTGTACAAAATAAATACATTTTACTGGTAGGAACCTCCTGGTTACACCAGCCCACAGGGGATCATTGTGTCCGTCGTGCAGGGAGGGGCTGGGTGGGGAGGGAGAGGCTGGGTAGGGAGGGGAGGCCGGGGAGGGGCTGGGTGGGGAGGGTGGGGAGGGGCTGGGTGGGGAGGGGAGGACGGGGAGGGGCTGGGTGGGGAGGGGCTGGGTGGGAAGGGTGGGGCTGGGTGGGGGGTGGGAGGGGTGGGGCTGGGTGGGGAGGGGCTAGTCACCCCGTGGTCCCCTTATAAAACTCAACGTTTAACCTGCTCACGCTGGCTTGTTCCCGCCCTCACAGTCGGGCATATTTGTGTTATATTATTTTCCTTCGCCCATAGTTTATAGGACCGCCGTGAAAGTCCATCTGCTCGGTTCCCAACGGTTACGCAATCACGCGATGCGATTGCGTAACCCTCATCCGACCGTGTTCATTTCAAGTTTCAAGTTCAAGTTCATGTATTAGGTATATAGCCCTGTGAGCCATTCGGCTCTTGAATCGGGTGCAACCGCAACAAACAAAAAACTAAAACATGAACAAAAAACATCTTAAAGTGAATATCTGACTAAGTGCAAACAGAAATTCCAAGAAAAGACAGCAAAATATTGCAGAAAAAAACCGTACACCAACGCTGTGCAAAAATACAACACATAAATGACGTCACGCACCTAGGGGGGGGGGGAGAGTCAGACATTATGACGATGTGTGACAAGGGGGGGGGGGGTTGAGTAATGTGACGTCACATAAAAATGCGTAACTTTTAATAAATATAGACAACACGTTCTACTTAATTGAAAAGACTTTTTAATGAATGTTTTCTCCTACAACATCAGAGTGCAGCGGGACATTAAATACGCACTACAATGACAATAGTTTAAAGCGATTTGAAGCATGTTTCGTTTTTTTTGGGGGGAAGGGGCAAAGCTTTGTGACGTCATATTTCAGGGGGCGTCTGACTTTTTGTGACGCCGTGTGACGATGGAGGGGGGGGGTCAAAAATCGTCCAAAATCGCGTGACGTCATTTATGGACGGCCCCAAACGCATCTACTAACCCAAAAGCATTTGTTTTAAAACAAAGTCTCTCGCCATATTGCGGGCTATTGTCCGACGCGTCACATATCGCATATGTTTCCTTAAAAGGCCACGTGTTAAGGACACATTTTAGTGAGCATGTTAACAAGCCTGACGACCATCAATGAGGCTCAGAAGGATGAACCGGGTTCCGAGTTTGCGTGCTTGAACAAATGTTGCAAAGATAATATTGGTCTGCAAAAGCCAACAGGCTGATGGACTGAAATGGGATTGTGTTTATCTTCTTGGTTCTTTCGGTAAAGTCACGTAGAATGGAAATAATATGTTATTATGTTTTATTTTCATTATTTTGTTATTTCCATTCTACGTGACTTTACCGAAATAAGCAAGAAGATGAATCCCTGCAGTCACGAAAGCTTTAAATCGGGATTGTGTTTATTCACGCGAGAAGGCAGAACTTCTGAAGTTGGGTGTTTAGTATTACCCGCATTTCTACACTGCAATTCATAATGATTTGCCACCTGATGATGGACGCTTGTGTTGCGCCCGAAACGTCGTGATTTATTTATTTTCTACCTACGTGACTTTACCGAAAGAACCAAAGAGCGGTCACGAAAGCTTCAAATCCAAGATTGAATTCATAATGAGTTTGTGAAAGATTCCGTAAATCTACAAATCTTGTCGCATGAGTTGTTCACTCGTGATGTAAAGCCAATTACAATTTCAGAGGAGAATTTTGTTTCGTATCTTCTTGGTTTTTTCGGTAAAGTCACGTAGAAGGGAAATATTTTATTATTTTATTATTTCCCTTCTACGTGACTTTACCGAAAGAACCAAGAAGATGAATCCCTACAGTCACGAAAGCTTTAAATCGAAATTGTTTCGTATGTATAGTTTTTTTCTTAATAGAAACCACCACTTGTGATAATTAAGAAGTTCCCCAGCGTGGGAATAAGAGGAGGCTATCCCTTGAAGAAAAGGACCTCAGAAGTAGTTCAATAGTGTCTCCTTCCCAGGGCCATTCTCTCAATCATTGCTAGCCCACTGCTGCGTTAAGGCCCACCCACGACCGTGGTGGATATTGTTTGATCGTATTTCAACACTGTATTTAGTATAAACTCTTTAAAAACAATTTATTTGACCAGGTAAGGCCCACTGAGCTATAATAGCCGTTTTCAGAAGGCTATCATAAATGATAGCTCAACGAAGTGGCTTATCACGTGCAAATGTATAGCAGCCAAATACTCTAAACGCATTTTGATGCAAAATGTGGAGGAAAATCCACGCGACCATGGGGAGAGAGAGACACTGCAAACTCCAAATATACAGCAGCAGGCGTCAGGATCAGAAATCAAACCCACGACCTCCTGCATACCGGGTGAGGGAGTTAACATCTCCTAGCCACCGTGATGATGATGGAGAGAGAGAGAGAGACACACAAACTCCAAATATACAGCAGCAGGCGTCAGGATTAGAAATTAAACCCACGACCTCCTGCATACCAGGCGAGTGAGTTAACATCTCCTAGCCACCGTGGCACCCTGATATCAGATCGACAGTATGAAATCCTTGCACCAAGTATGGCCACGTGTTAAGGACACATTTTAGTGAGCATGTTAACAAGCCTGACGACCATCAATGAGGCTCAGAAGGATGAACCGGGTTCCGAGTTTGCGTGCTTGAACAAATGTTGCAAAGATAATATTGGTCTGCAAAAGCCAACAGGCTGATGGACTGAAATGGGATTGTGTTTATCTTCTTGGTTCTTTCGGTAAAGTCACGTAGAATGGAAATAATATGTTATTATGTTTTATTTTCATTATTTTGTTATTTCCATTCTACGTGACTTTACCGAAATAAGCAAGAAGATGAATCCCTGCAGTCACGAAAGCTTTAAATCGGGATTGTGTTTATTCACGCGAGAAGGCAGAACTTCTGAAGTTGGGTGTTTAGTATTACCCGCATTTCTACACTGCAATTCATAATGATTTGCCACCTGATGATGGACGCTTGTGTTGCGCCCGAAACGTCGTGATTTATTTATTTTCTACCTACGTGACTTTACCGAAAGAACCAAAGAGCGGTCACGAAAGCTTCAAATCCAAGATTGAATTCATAATGAGTTTGTGAAAGATTCCGTAAATCTACAAATCTTGTCGCATGAGTTGTTCACTCGTGATGTAAAGCCAATTACAATTTCAGAGGAGAATTTTGTTTCGTATCTTCTTGGTTTTTTCGGTAAAGTCACGTAGAAGGGAAATATTTTATTATTTTATTATTTCCCTTCTACGTGACTTTACCGAAAGAACCAAGAAGATGAATCCCTACAGTCACGAAAGCTTTAAATCGAAATTGTTTCGTATGTATAGTTTTTTTCTTAATAGAAACCACCACTTGTGATAATTAAGAAGTTCCCCAGCGTGGGAATAAGAGGAGGCTATCCCTTGAAGAAAAGGACCTCAGAAGTAGTTCAATAGTGTCTCCTTCCCAGGGCCATTCTCTCAATCATTGCTAGCCCACTGCTGCGTTAAGGCCCACCCACGACCGTGGTGGATATTGTTTGATCATATTTCAACACTGTATTTAGTATAAACTCTTTAAAAACAATTTATTTGACCAGGTAAGGCCCACTGAGCTATAATAGCCGTTTTCAGAAGGCTATCATAAATGATAGCTCAACGAAGTGGCTTATCACGTGCAAATGTATAGCAGCCAAATACTCTAAACGCATTTTGATGCAAAATGTGGAGGAAAATCCACGCGACCATGGGGAGAGAGAGACACTGCAAACTCCAAATATACAGCAGCAGGCGTCAGGATCAGAAATCAAACCCACGACCTCCTGCATACCGGGTGAGGGAGTTAACATCTCCTAGCCACCGTGATGATGATGGAGAGAGAGAGAGAGACACACAAACTCCAAATATACAGCAGCAGGCGTCAGGATTAGAAATTAAACCCACGACCTCCTGCATACCAGGCGAGTGAGTTAACATCTCCTAGCCACCGTGGCACCCTGATATCAGATCGACAGTATGAAATCCTTGCACCAAGTATTGCCTTGCAGCAGTTTGGCCCCCCCGAGAATCCCCCGGGACGGAATCAAACATCGCGCGGCGGCGATGCGCGCACGGTATTCACGGTGGCGCTCTCCTCTTCACTCAGGAACGCACGAGGGAGTCTCAGGGCTCATTTGACAAGAGGACTTTGCATCGGATTCACGGGAACAATCCCGCGAGAGTGAACCCCGGTCAACACGGAGAGGGCAGACACTGGGCAACAACACCTGGCATGCCCCCCGCTGTCGGTGGCTGGTGGTGGTGATCGCCCATCCAAGCACGGACCGGCCTCGACAGCTCCATTATCATCCTCGATCTCAAGCGGCTGGGCGCTTTGGTGATTTGTTCGTCGGATGCGCCGCCCATCCAAGCGCGGACACCAGGCTGGGCACCCGCTTAGCCGCAGGGCGAACGGTAAATCGGCGCAAGCCGTCTGTGCGGCCGTCTGGAACGCTCCTCCCTTCCACGGGGAGCAAGTCACTTTTAAATCATCTCCATTGACAAACTCATTTCTTGTGAACTGACTTTTTATATTTAGTTTTGCTGTCGGTTGGCCACGTAGTTCAACGAACATCCAGAGGTGGTGGTGTGGGGGGGGAGGGGAGGGGGCGATCGGTGAAGGTTGCCCAGCCCGTGTCATGAGCTGGCTGCCCACCGCCCGCACTGCCATCTACTGCTCCATCTCCGCGATGGCGGTGCCCTCCAACGTGCTGCTGCTGCTCACCGCCACGTGCGGCCGTGCCATCCCGGGGCCAACGCTGCCGCTCGCCCTCAACCTGGCACTGTGCGACCTCTCGCTGGGCATCATGTGCGCGTCGATGGCCACGGTCAGCGGCACCGGCACCACCAGCAGCATCATCACCACCACGACCACCGGCACCGCCGCCGCCACCGCCGCCGCGATCACAACCGGCGGCGTCGACCTCGTCGGTAACCGACCCCCGCCCAAGTGGTGGCCGGGCCCTCTGTGGCTGTGCCACGCGCGGGCCTTCTTCCAGACCTCCCTGCAGCTGGCGTCCCTCCACTCGCTGCTCTGGCTGAGCGCCTGCCGCTTCGCCGAGGTGCAGCGGCCCCTGAGCTACGCGCGCACCGTCACTGCGCGGCGGGCCGGCGCCGCCGTGGCCCTCGCCTGGGGCCTGGGGCTGGCCGCCGCGGCCGCTCCGCTCGCGGGCCTCGGCAGCTACGGCCCCTCGCGGGCCACGGGGACGTGCGGACCGCGCTTCCTGCGGGCCGAGGGCGGGGCGGCGGGCGAGCGGGCCCTCTGCGTCCTCCTGCTGGGCCTCGGAGTGGCGGCGCCGGTGGCCGCGTTGGCCGCCATGTACGCGTACATCGTGCAGGTGGCCAGGAGGCAGGCGAGGCGCGGGGCCTTCGTGTGCACGGAGGCGCACTGCTACTACGTGCCCGCGCGGAGGTTCTTGCGCTGCACCGTGGTGCTGGTGTCCACCGTGGGTGAGGCAGGGAGAGGGCTCGCTCACTCGCTCACTCACCGCTCGCGAAGTCACTCACCGCTCGCTCAGTCACTGCTCACTCACCGCTCGCTCACTCACCACTCACTCAGTCTCTACTCACTCACCACTCACTCAGTCACTACTCATCGCTCACTCACTCACCACTCACTCAGTCACTACTCACTCAGTCACTACTCACTCACCACTCACTCAGTCACTACTCACTCACCCCGCTCACTCAGTCACTACTCACTCACTGCTCACTCAGTCACCATTCACTCATCACTCGCTCAGTCACTACTCACTCAGTCACTACTCACTCACCGCTCACTCACTCACCACTCACTCAGTCTCTACTCACTCATCGCTCACTCACTAACCACTCACTCAGTCACTACTCACTCACCCCGCTCACTCAGTCACTACTCACTCACTGCTCACTCAGTCACTATTCACTCATCACTCGCTCAGTCACTACTCAGTCAGTCACTACTCACTCATCGCTCACTCACTCACCACTCACTCAGTCACTACTCACTCACCCCGCTCACTCAGTCACTACTCACTCACTGCTCACTCAGTCACTATTCACTCATCACTCGCTCAGTCACTACTCAGTCAGTCACTACTCACTCATCGCTCACTCACTCACCACTCACTCAGTCACTACTCACTCACCCCGCTCACTCAGTCACTACTCACTCACTACTCACTCAGTCACTACTCACTCACTACTCACTCAGTCACTACTCACTCACTACTCACTCAGTCACTACTCACTCACCCCGCTCACTCAGTCACTACTCACCACTCACTCAGTCACTACTCACTCACCACTCACTCAGTCACTACTCACTCAGTCACTACTCACTCACCACTCACTCAGTCACTACTCACTCAGTCACTACTCACTCAGTCACTACTCACTCACCACTCACTCAGTCACTACTCACTCAGTCACTACTCACTCAGTCACTACTCACTCACCACTCACTCAGTCACTACTCACTCACCACTCACTCAGTCACTACTCACTCACCACTCACTCACGCTCATTCGCTCGCTGCTGACTCATTGATCACTCAATCACTGCTCACTCAGTCAATACCCACTGTTCACTCCTGCATGTACATGCAGTCATCGACTTACGAACCATCTTCCATGAATTGTCACATTTTGTTTAACATCGACTTAAAACGCGAACTGACCCGTGGAACTATTTTGTCCAGCGGAGTGATCCTCCACACACACACACGTGTGCGTTTGTCTTTGTGCGTGTGTGTTTGTCTTTGTGCGTGTGTGTTTGTCTTTGTGCGTGTGTGTTTGTCTTTGTGCGTGTGTGTTTGTCTTTGTGCGTGTGTGTTTGTCTTTGTGCGTGTGCGTTTGTCTTTGTGCGTGTGTGTTTGTCTTTGTGCGTGTGTGTTTGTCTTTGTGCGTGTGTGTTTGTCTTTGTGCGTGTGTGTTTGTCTTTGTGTGTGTGCGTTTGTCTTTGTGCGTGTGTGTTTGTCTTCGTGCACAAAGACACTCATACACGAGTGTGTGTGGGTAGCGGTAGCGCAGTGGTTTGCGCGACACTCCACAAAAGCGGCGGACCCGAGTTCGATTCCCGCTCACGGCCAACACCAGTGACGATTATCTGAACCGGCCCTGGGGCTCCCCTAGGTCGACTCAACCTCAAATGAGTACCTGGTGTCATCGCCCCTAGGTGCCCGGCTCGAGATGCACTCATCTCGAGCCGTGCCCTCCGCCTCTCTGTGCGTCTTGGGGACATCCATCCCGACCTCTCTTCCCTTGTCTGCTGCCCGATTGTACAACTGACTCTGAGGCCGTCCATAAATGACGTCACGCACCTGGGGGGGGGCGGGGTCAGACATTTGTGACGATGTGTGACGAGGGGGGGGGGGGTTGAGAAATGTGAAGTCACATCAAAATGCGCAACTTTAAATGAATATAGAATTGTTATAGCAACACTAATTGTTATAACAACACTCCTATAACATCAGAGTGCAACGCCATATTAAATACGCACTACAATGACAATAGTTGAAAGCGATTTGAAGCATGTTTTATTGTTTTTTTTTTGGGGGGGGGGCAGAGCTTTGTGACGTCATATGTGAGGGGGGGGGGTCTGACTTTTTGTGACGCCGTGTGACGAGTGGGTGGGGGGGGGGTCAAAAATCGTCCAAAATCGCGTGACGTCATTTATGGACGTAAAAAGAATGTACTCCACAATGATGTTGACCGATTATGTCGTCGCTGTAACCATCGACACTTCGGAGTTCCATATCCTTTTTCGGCGGACTAACTCAACCCATCATCACTCCGGAGGGGTGGGCCGCTAAAACACGTCGTGTACCGCTTTGTGAAACGTCAGCCACGCTTGGCCTTCTTTGCAGACACTCGCCCCTTGCCGTGGGAACGTGGAGTTTCCATTCGCCTGTCCCGGGGGTCGTCGGCGCTTTGTGCCGAGCTCGCTGATCCGTTATCCGCGCGCTGCCAAGCCCAGCTGTCAGAGGAACATCGTAAACGAGAGTTGATGTTTTTTTGCAATCGCCGGGTTATCATTCTACTGCGTAAGCGATAGCCGCCTCGATGAGGCTCGGAGTGCGACAGCCGCGGTTGTTGTCCACCCTGAGCAGCAAGTCGCTGTATCCCAGAGGTCAGCAAACCAAACCAACAACAACAATAACAACAATGCAAATTTCGATTTAAAGATTTCGTGACTGCAGGGATTCATCTTCTTGGTTCTTTCGGTAAAGTCACGTAGAAGAGAAATAATAAAATAATAAAAATAAAACATAATAAAATACAATTCTCACGACGTTTCGGCCACAACGCAAGCAGCCGTCCTCAGGTGAAAAACAGGGCTGTCGGAAAGACAGCGTCCGAATGAAAATTGTATCTTATTAAGTTGTATTTTTATTATTTTATTATTTCCCTTCTACGTTACTTTACCGAAAGAACCAAGAAGATGAACAACAATGCAATGCGTTCAACACGAGCCGGCGGTCCTTAATAACTAACTTCACAAAGCAGTCCTTGAAGAGCCGCATGCGGCTCCGGAGCCGATGGTTGCCAACCCCTGTCCATGGTGAACTGGACTCCCATGGTGAACTGGACTCCCATGGTAAACTGGACTTCAATGGTAAAATGGACTTCCATGGTAAAATGGATTTTACCGAAAGAACCAAGAATACGAATCCCCGTAGTCACGAAAGCTTTAAACCTCAATTTCAATGTGAGAGTCTTCATCTTAGAGCCGTGCATGGCCCTTTACTAAACGACCGTTCGCGCCGAACGGTTTCACCGATTGCGTCAAAACAACAATCGGCCCCTTTCGCTCACGCCCCGGACACACCGGCGCGTTCCGATTGGAGTCATCGGCACGCACTCGCGCGCGCGGACCCACGCACGCGGCAACGCAGCCATGTTTGCGCTTCGCAAAGAGGCCGTTCCAACTCCGCGGGCGAGCGATGGTAAATAGGTTTGTCCCGAGCGGCCGAGGTTACTCTGCGGTATTGATCACGACGGCGTGCGCTCTTCGCTGGAGTTGCACTGGACGATCAGACTGCGTTGGCTGGGAGCCCTCGTGGCAACTTGATGTTTTGGTATCGATTTATAGCTTTCGTGACTGCAGGGATTCATCTTGTTGGTTCTTTCGGTAAAATCACGTAGAAGGGAAATAATGAAGTAATTAAAATAAAACATGATAAAATAATTCTCACGACGTTTCGGCCACAACGCAAGCAGCCGTCCTCAGGTGAAGAACAGGCCTGTCGGAAAGACAGCGTCATTCAGACGGAAAGACAGCGTCATTCAGACGCTGTCTTTCCGACAGACCTGTTCTCCACCTGAGGACGGCTGCTTGCGTTGTGGCCGAAACGTCGTGAGAATTATTTTATTATGTTTTATTTTTATTATTTTATTATTTCCCTTCTACGTGACTTTACCGAAAGAACCAAGAAGTTGATGTATTGGCTTGGGCGACGTTTTCCAATAAGAACGATAACTGCAACAACAACAACAACAAGAATGCGGTCCATAATATTGTGGCTGTCGGCTGATGAGGCCGCTTGTAATTGCCGGCGAAACGTCGTCCTCGAATTGCAAATGTCGTGGGTTTTACTCTCCAACACACCGGTGTGCTGAACTAGTAACGAATTGGCCACGTTCTGTTTACGTGACAAACCTTACTAATTGGCTGTGTCGGGTGGTGGCGGGTTTAACGACACATTCATATATTTACGCGACAAAAAAACTTTTTATGGATAATATTGGTCGCGAAAGCCTACGTGTTCATAGCCCTATATTAAAAAACAGATACGTGTAAATGCAAAACAAAAAAATATCCACCAAATAAAATCACGAATATTTGGCGTACACGTGTTTTTTAAATCCTTTATATTAAGTTTGCTTGCTTGCTTAGGACCGTGCAAATTTTTCGGTCGTTTTTTAACCCACTTCCCGTGATCCAATCGAGCTGACATTTTCCACACAGACTCGTTGTGCGTGACAATTAATGTTCGTGAAAAAAAATTTCCAAAATTTTACACTTTTTAGGACAAAAATATTATATTTAATTACCAATTGCTTAATGGTGCAATGCAATCATCTGACCCATAGGTGGCAGCCATGTCAAGGCAGAGGACGAGATGACTCTAGCCGCCACGCATATAAAGGAGTTATAGTGAAAAACTTTGTTTTTACGGGTTATACTTATCTGGATGCAAGATAACCCCGACGATATTTGTGTCACCATCGACTATCTCGAGCCCCCGTGTAGCATCACTCGAACTAACTACGTCACTCACAGCCACGTGTGAGCCGGATGGCGGGGTCAAGTGGAGGTACCCCGAATTGTGATATCAATCATGGATTTTTTTTGTCCAGAAAGGGCTTTTATTAGTAAGATGTTTTTTTTTTAATCCATAAGATGTTTTCATTCTTACGATGTTTTTATTCGTAAGATGTCTTAATTACTAAGATATTTTTTTATCCGTAAGATGTTTTTATCCGTAAGATGTTTTTTTATCCATAAGATGTTTTTATTCTTACGATGTTTTTATTCGTAAGATGTCTTTATTTCTAAGATATTTTTTATCCGTAAGATGTTTTTATCCGTCAGATGTTTTTTATCCATACGATATTTTCATTTGTAAGATATTTTCCCTCCTAAGATGTTTTTATCCATAAGATATTTTCATCCGTAAGATATTTTCCCTCCTAAGATGTTGTTACCCATAAAATATTTTCACTTGTAAAGATTTTTCCCTTTTGAAGATATTTTCATCCGTAAAATTTTATCACCCACAAGATATTTTCACTTCGTAAGATATTTCCCTGTTGATGATATTTCCATCCGTCAGATGTTTTTTTTGCTCGTAACACTTTTTCAAGCCCATGAACGGTGAGATGACTCGTCACGCAAGCGGCGTGCGTCACAACTTAGCCTCGCAACGTTTTCGCGTGTCCCCGTCCCCCTCCATTCACCGTGCCAACGTCGGAATGTGACACCGAGACACTTGAGCTGAATCGCGACCGCTGTACCGCGTTCGCAGGGAGAGAGGGGAGTGGACTTATCTCGCTCGCTCGCTCGGGACACGCAACGAAACTTGCAGGTGGCCGACATCAACAAGCAATAAATCCATCGGCAGTGTTGGATGAGAGTGCTTTTTAGAAAGCTGGACGCTGTGACGACGTGCGCGTACGTCGTGATTGACTCGTTTACGAGGGCGCCGCACGGTACCGAGATGTGAACTCCCTCGCCTCGTATACAGGAGGTCGTGGCGTCGATCCCGACCCTGACGACGCCTGCTGCTGTATATTTGGAGTTTTGTGTGTCCCTCTCTCGCTCCCCGTGGTGGCGTGGATTTCCTTTGTTGTTGTCCTCCGCACCTCCGATTAGCACGGTTGGCTAGGTATGGTGCGAAAGAAGTTCAACATATACTAATAGGGGTTTTCCCCTTTTTTTCTGGCAACAAAACTGACACCTTTTGCAAGGAATCATGTTAACATTAACCACAATACTTGCAGTCAAATGCAAACAAAAAACAATACTCTGATAATTTATGCATTGTCCTTGAAACTGATTTTCTTTGAACTGTGTGCCTTTTGGCGTAATCTGGTCGAACACCATATGAGACTAGGCTCTAAATAAAGCTGTCTCTGGTATATTTTGGTACTGGCAAAGGAGGTCCCGTGATGTAAGTTCAACATACATCACTATACACCGCACTGTCCACGATACCATGATACTATATTTAAAAACTCAGTTCTTTAGAAATGCTTTGGGGCCGTCCATAAATGACGTCACGCGATTTTGTACGATTTTTTACCCCCCCCCCCCTTCGTCACACGGCGTCACAAAAAGTGAAACCCCCCCTCAAAAATGACGTCACAAAGCTCTGCCCCCCCCTACCCCCCAAAAAATAAAACATGCTTCAAATCGCTTTAAACTATTGTCATTGTAGTGCGTATTTAATGTGGCGCTGCACTCTGATGTTGTAGGAGAAAACATTAAAAAGTCTATTTAATTAAGTAGAACGTGTTGGCTATATTTATTTAAAGTTGCGCATTTTGATGTGACGTCACATTTCTCACCCCCCCCCCCCTCGTCACACATCGTCACAAATGTCTGACCCCCCCCCCCCCCTGAGGTGCGTGACGTCATTTATGGACGGCCCCTTTTGGTGTTAGTTTGTTGTCCTTCCCCTGCCGCACCTCCGATTAGAACGGTTGGCTACGTACGGTGCGAAAAAAGTTCAACGTACTACTGTATACTGATCGTCTTGGTTCTTTCGGTAAAGTCACGCAGAAGGGAAATAATACAATAATAAAAATAAAACATAATAAAATACAATTCTCGCAACGTTTCGGCCACAACGCAAGCAACGTCCTCAGGTGAAGAACAGGGCTGTCGGAACGTCGTGAGAATTTTATAGTTTTATTTTTATTATTTTTTTATTTCCCTTCTACGTTACTTTACCGAAAGAACCAAGAAGAAGAACAACAATGCAATGCGTTCAATACGATCCGGCGGTCATTAATAACTAACTTCACAAAGCAGTCCTTGAAGAGCCGCATGCGGCTCCGGAGCCGATGATTGCCAACCCCTATCCATGGTAAACTGGACTTCCGTGGTAAACTGGACTTCCATGGTAAACTGGACTCCCATGGTAAACTGGACTCCCATGGTAAACTGGACTCCCATGGTGAACTAGATTCCAATGGTAAACTGGACTTCCATGGTAAACTGGACTCCCATGGTAAACTGGACTCCCATGGTAAACTGGACTCCCATGGTGAACTAGATTCCAATGGTAAACTGGACTCCCATGGTAAACTGGACTCCATGGTAAACTGGACTTCCATGGTGAACTAGATTCCAATGGTAAACTGGACTTCCATGGTAAATTGGACTCCCATGGTAAACTGGACTTCCATGGTGAACTAGATTCCAATGGTAAACTGGACTTCCATGGTAAATTGGACTCCCATGGTAAACTGGACTCCCATGGTAAACTGGACTCCCATGGTAAACTGGACTTCCATGGTGAACTAGATTCCAATGGTAAACTGGACTTCCATGGTAAATTGGACTCCCATGGTAAACTGGACTCCCATGGTAAACTGGACTTCCATGGTAAACAGGTGAAGAACAACTATACCGATGTCGTCGTCCTCGTGTGCCCCCTCCCCCCCCCCACGTGCCCCCCCCTCCCCCCCGCAGTGGTGCTGCTCGTCTGCTGGGTGCCCTACCTGTCCGTGAGCTTCTACGCCGCGTTCGCCCGCCTCCCCGTGCACGTGACGGCCGAGGCGCTTTGCTCGGCGCTCACGCTGCTAACCTCGGCGCTCAACCCGTGGGTCAACTTCCTCTCCCAGCAGTAGGTCGACGAGACGCGAGACACAAAGGCGAAGGTGCCCCCCCACAGCACCCCCCCCCCCCCCCCCCCCCCCGTGTAGCCTCGAACAGACCGTTTGGGGGGCAAGTGCTGTTAGCGAGCAGCACCTATGAAGGCCGGCACGGCACGCGAGAGGGTGGGGTGGCCAGCACAACGCCCGGCCGCCTTTGTCTCCCCACTGGCGATGTTTGCGCGCCGCACCAGGTGCTCATTTGAGGCTGAGTTGACCTGAGGGAGGCCCAGGATGGGTGCAGATATTCACCACCCGGTCTCTTTTAATCGACCCCGTGCTGATTTTTGTACACCGCACCAGGTACTCATTTGAGGCTGACTTTACCTATGGGGGCAGCCCAGGATCGGTTCAGATATTCACCACACTGGCCGCCTTTATCTCCCCAGTGCTGATTTGTACACACCGTACCAGGTACGAATTTTAGGCTGAGTTGACCTACGGGTGACCCAGGATTGATTCGGACATTTGCCACTGATGTTGGGCCGTGAGCGCAAATCGAGCTCGGCCCGCTAGGTCCGTAGAGCGAGTGCGCTCACCGCTGCGCCAGCATTCCCTTTTCTACACACACACACGAGCACACGCGTGATGGGTGACGCGCCCGGCGTTCAGGGAGTGAGCTGTGAAGGAGGCCGCCCCGTGGCCAAATCCGTGTGGGCCTGCAGAGAAGTGCATTGTGGGTGACCAAAAAAAACACATTTTCAGAAGTGCATTGTGGGTGCCACAAACATCTTCAGAAGTGCATTGTGGGTGCTAAAAACATCTTCAGAAGTGCATTGTGGGTGCAAAAACATTTTCAGAAATGCATTGTGGGTGCAAAAACATCTTCAGAAGTGCATTGTGGGTGTACATTCGGAAGAAGTACGGCACGATCCCAATGCTCAACTTATCCATCGGTGGGTTCAAGACGACGGCGATGTAGATGATGCCCCCGTCCCAACTCAGGCTCGTAAGGCAACGCAAGGGAGATGCTGCTGTTGCTCCAGGCTCTCGCCTTTCTGATCAGCCCAAAGGAATCGCGTGCCCCGGACACAACGATCAATATTGACCTTCTTTTAGCAAGTCTCAGTCGACTGAATAAACCTTCGAATCGCGTCAGAGCTGGTGACAGGGTGAATTAAAGGCTGATAAAAAAAAAAACAGATTTGCCGATTGCAATTTTTATTTCAGACTCTTTTATGAGGATAGGTGTGTTGTGCTGCCAATACGTCCATTTGTCTGATATAAATTTCCACGTGATTAGCCACTTTCGTTGAGGTATCATTCATCGCCAGGTCGCTTCTGAAAAATAGCTACTATAGCTTAGTGGGCCTTACCTGGTAAAATAAAACTATTTTAGTGTAGTAGGAGTAATAATGATGATGGTGATGACGATCCAATGCAGATGGAACAGGTGGATATTGACATCATTGGAACCTCATTTGCCAGTAGAAAAATATGATAATTGTTTTTTACCCTTTTATCTGGCAACAAAACTGACACCTTTTTTTATGGTGCATTGTCTTTCAGTTGTGCACCTTTTGGCGTCATCTGGTCCAACACCATGTGAGACTAGGCTCTAAGGAAAGCTGTCTCGGGTGTGGACCAATCAACTTCAAGGACAGTGCATACATTATCAGAGTTGTGTTTTTTGTTTGCATTACGACTGCAGGTATTGTGGTCTATGCAAACATGACTCCTTGCAAAAAAGGTGTCAGTTTTGTTGCCAGATAAAAGGGTCAAAAAACAATTATCAGGTGGATATTGGTCCACATTTTCTGTACCGCCTTCTCGTGGCGAGCCAGGGTAGGGCGCTATGGTGGCGAGATGTTAACTACCACGCCTGGTATACAGGAGGTCGTGGGTTCGATTCTCGACCCTGGGGCCTGTATATTTGGAGTTTGCGTGTTCACGCCGTGGTCGTGTGGATGTTTCTCCGTTTCCTCCAGTTTTATCCCTCCACATTTAAAATCAACACAATGATAAGCCGCTTCAATGAGCTATCATTTGCGATAGCCAGGTCAGGTTTGCAAAAAAAGAGCGATATAGCTCAGTGCGGCTTTGCCTGGTGAAATAGAAAATAGTTTTATAGTTTATAGGGCGGCATCGAAAACGTTTTGGTTTAGCAATATTTGTTTGTTGTAGTACAGAGTTAGATTGATAACTTTTCATCTAATTTGTCTGGAATTTTTGCACACAGCATTGATATACGGTGCTTTTTCTGGATAGTCTTTGCTGTTTTTTCCTGGATTTTTCTTTCTAGATTTGAAGCTTTCGTGACTGCAAGGATTCATACTCTTTGTTTTTTTTGGTAAAGTCACGTAGGTGAAAAATAATAATAAAGGAAAACAACTAAATTAAATCACGACGTTTCGGGCGCAACACAAGCCTCCTTCTTCAAGTGGGGACAACGTAGTGAAAGCACAACCGCTTAAGTGTGTTCTGTTGCACGTAGTCACTTTAAGATGTTTCTTGTTCATGTTTTTAAATCCTTTATATTAAGTTCACTTGATTGCTTGCTTGCGCGCTTACGACCGTGCAAATTTTTCGGTCGTTTTTTAACCCACTTCCCGTGATCCAATCGAGCTGACATTTTGCACACAGACTCGTTGTGCGTGACAATTTATTTTCGTGAAAATAAAATTCCAAAATTTTACACTTTTTAGGAAAAAATAAATTATATTTAATTACCAATTGCTTAATGGTGGCAGGCAATCATCTGACCCATAGGTGGCAGCCATCTCAAGCCAGAGGACGAGAGGACTCTAGCCGCCACGCATATAAAGGATTTATAGTGAAAAACTTTGTTTTTACGGGTTAATTTTTTGTTTGTTGCGGTTGCACCCGAGTCAAGAGCCGCATGACTCACAGGGCTACGCCTAATAAATGACACTGAAAACTGAATTGACCGCGACGCCAATACCCTGACCCCTCTGACCTCTCGCAGGAAGTTCCGGCGGGCGCTGTCGCTGGGCTGGGCCCGGCTCTGGGGATCGGCGTGCTGGTTCTGGGCACCGGCGCCCTCCCGCCACAACCGGCGAGAGGGTCGCCCTCCATGGGGAGGGGGGGCGCAGGGCCCCCCGTCCCCCTCCGTGCCTCGATCGATCCTCGGTTTGGTTCCGGTCCGGCCTCTGGTCGGCAACGGGCGGATTCGATAATTTCATCGCTCGCTTCTCTTGATCTCTCGATCATTCGCTCGCTCGGGGGTAGGGGGGAGTAGTAGGCGAAGGAGGGTAGGGACACATCTACAGGGAATTAGGAATCACCATCGGCGCGATAGAAATCTGCGGAAATTTTTTTTAAAGCGCACCGCTGCGATCAGGCGCCCCGCGTTCCTTTGCCGTCGGTGGGTTTTGATCGCGTTTTACTTTTTTTCCCGACATCCTCTTCGAGCGTTCGACAGGACGGGCGTCCACCGCGGGAGACGGAGCGACGGGAATCGGCTCGCGTGCTCCACCGCGGTTGCCAAGTAGCGTCTATAGAGGCGTCGCGGGAGAGAAAGAGACGACGGCGGATTGGGGAGGCCTTCATCCAGCGGTAGATCGACCGTGGCTGGCTGATCTCTGTGATGTGGTGGTCGTTGGCGTTGTTAGTATTATTATTAATCGTAGTGTAGTCACAAGACGACCTCTCGGCCACAAGACGACATCTCGTGGGAGGTTTCAACCCCCCCCGCCCCCCCCCCGCTGTTGCTGATGGCAACACCCCGGGACATTCTGTGCCCGAAATCGGACGACAATTAACATTTGACGGCGCGGTGTTTTGGTTGCTGATGGCAGCGCTCGGTGGCTGATGCACCGAGCGCGTTCTCTGATGGATCTCCATAGACTCTTCCTGCGCGGTCCAACAGAAAGCCACGACCTAACGATAGCCCGCATTGATGTACCGTCGTAGGGATAGTGGACCGCACACATGCCAAGGACAGGGCTAGCACCCATATGAAACTAAACTAAAACATTTCATTTTGATTTAAAGCTTTCGTGACTGCAGGGATTCGTCTTCTTGGTTCTTTCGGTAAAGTCACGTAGAAGGGAAATATTAAAATAAAAAACATAATAAAATAATTCTCACGACGTTTCGGCCACAACGCAAGCAGCCGTCCTCAGGTGAAGAACAGTTCTGTTGAAAAACAGGTCTGTCGGAAAGACAGCGTCATTCATTCAGACGCTGTCTTTCCGACAGACCTGTTCTTCACCTGAGGACGGCTGCTTGCGTTGTGGCCGATACGTCGTGAGAATTATTTTATTATGTTTTATTTTTCTTATTTTATTATTTCCCTTCTACGTGACTTTACCGAAAGAACCAAGAAGATAAAACATTTCATTTTTACCAGTTAAGGCCCACTGAGCTATATAGTGACCTGGCTATCGCAAATGATGGCTCAACGAAGTTTGCTCATCATCACGCGGTAATGTAAAGCAGCTAAATAACTCTAAACGCGCGTTGATTCTAAATGTGGAGGGGAAAACCCGGAGAACAATCCACGCGGCCACAGGGAGAACACGTGAACTCCATACAGGCGTCGGCATCGAACCTACGACGTCCCGCATACCAAGCGAGGTAGTCAACATCTCGCCACCACGGCCCCCCTATATTGGTACAAGTTTGTTGTTCTTTTTTTCCGTTCGAATTTCTTAAGCCGGGGATTTTTATTAGCCTTCGGACCACGACAGCAATTGCCGTCTGCGAAACGATGTTAGTTAGTTTTGGTTCTGATTTGTTCCAAGTACTACATGATGATGTTGATGACAAAAAATCATCACATTCCACCCGTGGGGTAACTCTGTCTGCGGGAGGGGGGGGGGTACGCCCCGTGGGGAGATGGAGCGCTTCGCGTGCCGGGCCACCGCTCCGCTTGGAGGTGCGGTGGCCATCACTTGGCGATGGATGCTGGCGGTCGGGCAGGAGGAAATATTTTTGGCCGTGAAAAAATCTTCTCGTTTTTGTTTGTCTTCAAGGAGCAGGTGTGGATAGGGAGCCTTCATCCAGCAGTGGATTGACCACGGCTGCTGCTGATGATGATGTAGTGTACTTGTGTTCTGCGTGGTGTGACATTATATCTGGACTTTTAAAAAAATAAGTGTTTTTTTTTTTATGATCGTCTTACTGTCATGTGCACTGGACCACAAGTGCGGCGATCGCTTGTCGGATAAATTAATTGGCGGTGGTAATTTATTGGTAATTGTTGGATGAATGATTTTCTTTTACATTTTATGCACTTTACAGACGATATAACAAGGTACCATAATTTATCAAGCATGACAGTTGTCCCGTTTTAATAACAATAGTAATAACTTTAACTTGTAACGGCGAGAAAGAGAGAGAGAGAGAGAGCGAGAGAGGACGACTCAGAGGCACCAGGAGGAGGAGGAACCACAGACGACAAGGAAGGCAGCAGCAGCAGCAGCCACGCGGTGAGGATCCGACGCTACCAACGATTGCCCAAGATCTGCTATCCCCTAGATACATCAAGGTGTTATCGGCCAACCAATAGGTGTTTAAGCGTGTGGGGCAGGAAAATCGGAGCACGTGGAGAAAAACTGACATGTGCTAGCGGGCAACACTCTATCCCCGTGCAGATCGAACAGGTGGAGTCCACATTCGTTGTGCTGCATTCACCTCGGGAGCCAGGGTATGACTCAGGGCAAGAGAGTTTCACAACGTCTGTGTGGTGTGTGTGTTTGATCCACAAACCCTCGCTGCCTCCGCAGTTCTGGATTAGAGGCCACGTGCATAGCCGCCACGATCCAGGCGAAAGCTTTGGCTAAGTTATTGGTGCCTTCGACTAAATCACCCAGAATGCACCCAAACTCCATCAGATCTCAGAAGCCAAGCAGGCTTGAGTCTGGATAAGTGTTTGGATGGTCGCTCATTCTCCACTGGCCCCACTGTCTAGAGCAGCGGTCGGGAACCTATGGCTCGCGAGCCATATATGGCTCTTCCAGTGACGGCATATGGCTCCCAGACAATTTTGAGTTGAAAAAATAATTTTAAAAATCTGTTTGGAACTGATTTTAAAATACTTGTGATGTTACTTAATAATACTGTGTCATTTTAAAGTGAACAGAAATTAGTTTTGAAGATAAATTTCACGGGTCACGCCTGCATGAAGCTCAACCTCACCACGTATGCACCAGACTACAAAGCCATCAGCAAAACCACGCAGCACCAGACGTCGCATTAAAAGTAAGACATTTAATTTATTATACGTTAAAAATACTATATGGCTCTCAATGAAATATATTTAGAAATATTTGGCTTTTATGGCTCTCCCAGTCAAAAAGGTTCCCGACCCCTGGTGTGGAGCTCTGTGCCAACTCCTGGCCACGCCTCGTATCCTCATGCCCAACGCCAGCCCTGGCGGTCTCCCGTTGAAGCACTAACCAGGCTTCACGCTTGCAGAGCTTCGGGCCCAGCCAGGGTGATCTGGAGTTCGCCCGATAACTCGTGACTTGGCGACCGTGAGGACAAAGCTAGGACCACGTGATATCTCTTGTTTGGATGCCACGGGGCTGTCTGCGCCCGGCCACTCGAGACGGGGGGGAGGGGGGGGTCGTGAGTTCGCATTGCCGCGGTTGACCGTCGGATGACCGCGTGACCAATCGGGCGATTCGTCTTGTCACCATCGTGGGAATTGAATCAAAAACATCGACCAAGCGAGAGTCCAAGTGATTGATCGCTCGAAGCAGTGGTGGACATTCCTCATTTCTACGGCGGTATTGAGTCTCATCCATCATACGACAACTGTTGGCATCCCCACATAGCGGTACCTGTTTTATCAACCCTGGTGGGAAGATGGTCTGAGTGAACCTTCCTCACCACACCTCCACCCCCATCTCACCCCTGGCCACAACATGGTACGGTACCGATTTTATCCACCCCGTCGGGAGTGTAGGCCAACCCCATGCTGCAGTCGAAATCACGTGACTATCACCGCAGGGTCACTGACAGCGCGAGATTGAGTGACGTCATTGCCTTCTGGGTTCGTTACGAGCCGGCCGGGGTTGGCGCAGCGCGCGAGTCGGCGGCTCGCAGTCGGAAGGGTCATGAGTTCAACCCCTGGTCGTGGGCGGTGGGGAGAGGTTGACCTTGGAGTTGATAAAATAGGGGCCATTTTGAAATTCTTGGTTCTTTCGGTAAAGTCACGTAGATAAAAAAATAAAAATAATTAATTTTAATTAAAATTTGAAATAAAATAAAAGCAAAAAAACCCACGACGTTTCGATCGCAACACAAGCGGTCTTCATCAGGCAGAGAGAAAAGAGAGGGCCAAGCCTTGTGGGGATCTCAGCATCGTCCGTCTGATCGAAGAGAAACTCCGCGGTAGACACGGCAACGTTGAGCCGACGTTGGCGTGTGGCTGCAGCCGTTGTACTCACGTTGGTGCCGACGTTCCAAGTTTACCGTGGGTCGCCCCTGCCATAGGAATGTCGAATTTCCCACCGCTGGCTCTGCGGGGGCTATAAACGGGAGACACGAGCTACGGTGCCTCCTCAAAGTGTCTCAACACTAGCCAGGGAAATGACACTTTGTCTGTCACCGCTCACAGCTGATGTTGGCAATGAAACAGCTCCATTGTTGATGCGAACAAAAGACTCGCGTAACATTGTTTCAACTAGAATCATGATGAAAAAACGATTTAAAAATCGACTGTTCAATCAACTGGTTGCGACGACGAGAAGTCACGTGCTGCTCGATGGACACCTCGTGCTGTCTCGGTCACGTGTGATGATGACGACGATGACGCGAAACGGGGCGGTCTCTCTCTGTCTCTCTCTGCCCGTACGATATCGCGCGATATGAAGTCCACGATAATGGCGGTGTCGTCCGTTTTTTGCCAAGTTGCTGTGTCGTTATACCTTGATTGTATGTATCGCAATACAATGATGTAGATGTAGTAACCTTTGTGTAGCTATATGTATATAGAAACATGTGCATATGTAATGCGCATACGTCGTTATGAAATGATATGTAAACAATCATTGTATACTCTTTGGTTCTTTCGGTAAAGTCTTGTAGGTATAAAATGAGATAAATCACGACGTTTCGGGCGCAACACAACCATCCGTCATCAGGTTTTCCCTACCCACGTGACTTTACCGAAAGAAGCAAAGAGTATGGATTCCTGTAGTCACGAAAGTTTCAAATCAAGAATCAT